CTGCCAGTGGCTTTTGAGTACATTGGCTGGAGCAGTGCCAAGTATGCTGTGGCTGTGGGGTCACTGTGTGCCCTGACCACCAGGTGAGGGGCGGTTCTGTGGTTCAGATGAAGGTTCTGGAGCTGTAACACATCCAGGAGATAACCCAAATCCCTTCTTCCTGATTTCCTCCTGGCCTTTCCTGCTTGGCCAAAATCCCTTCCACACAAACCCTGTTGTTCCCATCCTGGCCCTTCCTAATCAGGGAGAGCAGCCCATGGCTGCTGCTTGGCATGATGGTGGAGGAAGAGGTCAGGTGGCATCGTGTCCACAAGAGTGGGCTGGGGTGTTGTGGCATGCACAGGGCTCCTGGTGACTGTGGACATCTCTTCCCTGACACGGATGTTCCCTGTCCCTCATCTGATGGTGAGGAAGGTGATGGTCTTGTCAGCATGGTCTTGAGACATGAGGTTATGGGACACAGATGAATGGGAGTTCCCTTGGGAGCAAAGGGCAGGATGGCACCTCCTGGATTCCTCCCCTCTTGTCCCCGATSTCCCCTGTCTCATGCAGCCTGCTGGGCTCCATGTTCCCCATGCCACGGATCCTGTATGCAATGGCTCGGGACGGGCTCCTCTTCAAACCTCTGGCCAAAGTCAGTCGCCGTCAGTGCCCGGTGCTGGCAACTCTGGTGTCTGGAGGAGTGGCAGGTGAGTGAGTGTTGGGTTACCCTAACCATGGCCAGGCCTTGCTGGGTGTCCTCTTTCCCTCTAGCTGGCCTGTAGCTGGGCAATGTGTCCCCCCAGACACAGCTGTCTCATGGTGGGTGGGTGCCTTCTGGCCTCGATGGTGTCCCAGACTCTGGTTCAGCCTCTCTGAGTGCCAGGCAGGGGGTGACAGGATGCTTTGCTCTGGTGACTGAAGCATCACCAGCTCACTGAGGTTGCAGTGGGTGTCAGGAGGGTGTGAGGGGGTCAGGATGGCGTGACTGAGGGGGGCACAGTGGCACTGCCAGCTCTGTTGGGAGGCTGAAAGGRCTTCTCTTCCCCACAGCTCTCCTGGCTCTTCTCTTTGACCTGAAAGCCCTGGTTGACACCATGTCCATTGGCACACTGCTGGCCTACTCGATGGTGGCTGGCTGTGTGCTGCTGCTCAGGTGAGACTGCTGGGACAGGGGACAGGGCTCACTCAGCAGTGGGACACACCTGGGACAAGGCTGTGGCCTGGGTGCACTGCAGGTGCAGGGTTATGAGCACTGAAATCCAGTGTCTGCTCCTCAGGTACCGGCCTGAGCCCGGCACTTGGGACACTCCTGCGGGGAAGGTCCCTGCTCTGCAGCTCTGCTGGGACCACCTTGTCCAGCCACCCCCTCATCCCACCCCTCGTTCCTCTGCTCTGGTGGTTTGGGCTCTGACAGCTCTAGGTAGGCTTGGCAATGATGGATGGGATTTACAGGGAGCTGGCCTGGGGGGACCCATGGAGGACATCCCCCTGCAGCAAGGGCTGGTGGGTTCCTGCCCAGTGAAAACCACCCAGCAGCAGATGCAGGGGCTGCCTGGCTCTTTCCTGCCCTCACCCCATTGCCACAAAGCTGGTTGTCCCAAGGAGGGACCTCAGGGAACCTCCTGCTCCCTCTGCTTCCCAGACTGGAGAGAAAAGCTAAACCCACCATGAGAGGCCACCCAGCTGTGTCCCCTGGCTGTGCTTTGTCCCACCATGACAGCCTGGGAGAGGGTGGGCCCAGCCCAGGGGATCTGCCCTGACACCGTGGTCCCTCTGCAGCTGCCCTGGTGTGTGCCCTGAGCTGGGTGAGCRCTGCTGGGCTGCCCTGCCTGCGGGCTGGGGGTGCCTGGTGCATCACAGCTCTGGCCCTGCCTCTCCTGGGGATCCTGGCAGCAGCTCTTCTCATCTGGAGGCAGCCTCAGAGCCGGGACAAAGCATCCTTCATGGTGAGCACCCAGCCCAGCCCTCAGGACATGCCCAGGGACAAGGACCTGGGGCACTGAAACCAGGCAAGTGCTGCAGCCCTGTGGGGGGAAAGGGTGGCATTGGGGGTGCTCCCTGAGCTTTAGGTCAGGCACAGCTTTGCTGCATCCACATTAATAAGGTACTGCTGGAGGCAGCCTATAGCTCATGGGGTTTTCCATAGGGACCATGAGGGTTCTTCCCCCGTGACCTGAGGGCTGAAGGGGCATCTCTCAACTGAGCCTAGTGCCTGCTGGGGAATCAGAGCTGCTCTTCACTAAAAAGAGTTTTGCGAGTGCTTTGCTGCCTCCCACCTTGAATCCTGCAGTACCTCCTGCCCCAGTGCATGACCCCAAGCATCCCCACCATCCTCCACAAGCATCCCTCTCCAGAACGGGCTGCAGTCCCAGCTTGGATTTCAGCCTCACAGGCAGCCTGGCTTTCCCCCTGCCTGTGTGCAACTAGGCAAAGCAGCAAAGAGCTGAATTCAGCTGTGGAATTTACCCTTGTGCTCCCTGCAGGTTCCCTGCCTGCCCTTGCTGCCACTCCTCAGCATCTCCATCAACACTGTGCTGGTGGCCCGGCTCAGCGCGGCCCCCTGGCTGCGGTACCTGCTCTGGATGGCTGTGGGTAAGCACGGCCACTCACCAGGTCCCAGAGCTGCCACCAGCCTCTCTGAGTGAAGCTTTGGTGGTTTGAGAGCCTGTGGCACTAATGCTGCTCACAACGGTGGTGAGGAAGGAGGAGATGCTGAACTTTGATGTCCCGGGGTGGTGGGAGCACCATGTCCTGTGATCTGTGGCCCAGGGGAAGGGGCGAGCACTTGTTGGTTGGGAGGGGAAGGAAGAGAATCACTCCATACACACCCTATTCTGCCCTTTCCTAGGTCTCCTCATTTACTTTGGCTACGGGATCTGGCACAGCACTGAGAGCTGTCGGCCCGAAGGGACAGGAACCCGAGAGCTGCCGGGAAGCARCGCCAGGGAGGTGGCCCTGGAGCCCTGCGGGACTGCCCTGTGCCCACCTGCTCCGGGGCAGTAAAAGGAGATCCCCGAGTGCCCAGCTCCTCCTTCCTGTGCCCAGCGGGCAAGGAAGCCCCTTGAGCTGTGAGTCCTGTCCCACAGAGGGGCTCAGTCCTGCCAGAGCTGCAGGAGCTGCTTCCCTGAGTCTGGAGAGACTCCCTGAGCAGCCCGAATCCTGACAGCAAGCCCCTGCAGAAGGAGCTCTGTTAGGAGAGGATAAAGCACACAAGTTGCTGCTGTTACTAAATTATGGTTTTGTTTTTTTTTTTCCTTTGAAACCTTTCCCTGCAAGCCCCTCACAGCCCCCCTTGCCCTCACCCACCCTGTTCTTTCAGCTGCTCACAGCAGAGGGGTTGCTTCTCATGCTGCCCTGACCCTCCATTTTGCCTGGGTACTGAGCCTGAGCTGACCTATCATTCCCCCATCACTGCCAAGGTACTGCCTGGTCCAGGCTTTTCCCTCCTTACCACGGGCAAGTCCTTTTCTGCACTCTTTTATTCCTCCTCCTCAGTTCCCAGTGCCCCCTTTCCCAGAGCCAGGCACATTCCTCCAAATCCCACACAGGATCTGCCTTTGGGGCAGTGGGAACCCGGTACCAGGTGTCCAGAGCAGCATGCCAGACCACACCAGCCTCACACCCCTTTGCCCAGAAATCCTGATCCCTTCAGCCTCAGCCAGGCACAATTTGCTGGGGCATCCCCTGCTTTGGTGTAAGAGCACCTGGGGGATGCACAGATGGTGTGTGGAGTAGAGAGTGCCCTGGGTTTCCAGGACAACAACCACCCCCATTTCCCACTCTGGCCACCCTACAGAGGTGTGTGGGTAAGAGCTGGACCCCACATCCACGTGGCCTTCCTGGCTGCCCATTCAGCTGCTYTGTTCCTGATAAGGGTCAGCACAAAGGATGGAAGCAGCTGTTGAAGTGGCCCTGATGCTTTGGCAAGGCTGGGAGGGTCCTGSTCTGCCCTGAGCTGGGAGCTCATTGAAATGAATGARAAGAGGGAAGGAGCAGGAAAATGGGGATTGGCCTTAGGGGCCTTATCTTGTGKAGTCTTGGTGGCGCCTGCTCCCACCCTTCCCCTTCTTCCCACTGTATGGGGTGTGGAGCACTCAGCCCCACTCTGGGATAATCCTGCCCCAGTCCCCAAAACCACTGACATGGGATTGCTGAGGCTGCTGCTTCTTACAGATTTGTAATCGTTACAGCCAGTAGCACATTGGCTGGTGCACATACACACTCATACACACACACACACACACAAACACATGTACAGCCCTGGCTAAACAGCCTTGGGGAGGGGACAGGCCAGTGACAGCCCAGAGCAGTGACCGTCCCACCACATTGGTGCACCCAGGGGAAAGTGCTTGTGTGCATCCAGCCCTGACCCCCAGCCATGCTGGCAGCATCTTCCCTGATGGGGATGTGCTGGCTGGAGCAGAGGCGTGTGACCTGCCAAAGCTGCCACGCCCTGAAAGGATGCCTTGCTCCCTGAATGTGCAGCTCCAGCCTCTGTCCAGCTTTTGGGGGAGAAGATGGGGATGGTGGTGCTGCTGATGGGCAGCRGGGACAGGGACAGCTTGGGGTCTTTGTGGCAGTGCGGTGGGACATGCCTGGGCTGCAGGAGCAATCCCTGGAGACGTGTGCTGGAGGTGGAGGTGGTGATGGGAATAGGAGGGCATGGGTGGGAGCCCTGCCTGGTGAGGTGCCTTAACACCGTGACCCCAGTGCCCTCCTGATCCTCCCAGTGCTTATCCCCATCCTGTCCTGGTGGCCTCCTCATTGTCCTCACACCCCAGGCCATACTGGTGCTGTTTATACTCAGAGCCAAGYGCTGGGCCAGGTGCAGCCCAGTGCAAGTCTGCGTGTCCTGGTGGGTCCCTTTCACTCCCAGACAGCCCCCAACCAGAGGAAGGGGTGGGCAGGGTCCCTCTGCAGCCCCACACGGGCTGGGGAAGCGCAGGCGTGAGTGTCCGGTGAATGCTCCATCGCTGCGGTCCATGAGGCGCCCCGAGGGCGCTGCCCCGCCTGGGGACACGTGTGACAGCAGCCCCGGGCTCGCAGGGCTGGAGGGCAGCCCCGGCAGTCCCCGGGTGCTGTCGGTGCTACGTGGCGATGGGGGGCACCTCGCCGGCAGCCATGGCGAACGGAGGGCTGTCCCCGGCGTTGAGCACACGGTACAGCAGCTCCTCCTTGTCCCGGTGAGCCTGATCCCGCAGCTGCGCCTCCTTCTCCAGCGCCCCGCGGGCAGCCTGCAGCTCCTCGGACAGCTGCCTGTGGGCAGAGGGCACCGGCTGCTGCAGCCACCCGGCAAAGCACCCTCTGCTCCCGGCAAAGCACCGGGTGGCACCGCAGGCTGCGATGTGTGCCCGCCACTGCCACTTGTGCCTCATTCGGAGATGCCGCCGGTGCGCCGGGTGGGTGGGACCAGCACTCACCTCGCCATGACCAAGTGGTTCTGGGTGCGAACTTGCAGGTCCTCGTTCTCCTGCTGGAGAGTTTTCACTTTCTCCTCCAGCAGAAGGTTCCTCTCCTCCTGGAAGGGGGGCATGAGGGTGAGCAGAGAGCTGGGAAGTGCCTCCAAACCCCCTGCCACTGYATTTTGGTGAAATGCTGGCCTGGTGGCATTGCTTTCGCATTCCCTCCCCACTCCAAGAGGGGAAGTGGGCTCCATCCACCTTTGCTCCAGCTGCAATTTCTGGGCAGAATTTAGGTGGGTAGAAGAGCTGGAAAGAGGAAAGCCCACCTGTGACCCCCCCCCTTTCAACCCACCACGGTCTCCAGGTRCAGCAGCTTCTTGTCCAAGCTGTGGATGTGCTCATTCTTCATCTCGATGACGAAGTGCAGGCTCTCCAGCTCCTGCTCCCAGAAGGGGCTGGGGCTCCCGTGYTCCTGCAGGACCATCACTTGTGTCCAACCCTTGTTCCAGCCCCAACCCTGCCAGGGTTTATCAGAGAAGTCCCTTGGCTTTGGTTCAACCCCACGGGAGGTTCCCTCCCTGACACCCTCCCTGCACCTGGATGTGCTTCTTGTAGTCTGTTCTCAAGAGTGACTCCTCCACCCGCTTCATCCTCTCATGGAAGGATTTCAGCTGGGAATTCAGTGCYTGAATTGTCTCCTAAGGCAACCATGGAAAAAGCAGAATGAGAAGTATTCAGGTTTTTTTCTTGATGTTGGGCTGTGGTACCCAAATAACCTCAGGGCTGGAGGAGCTGGTGTGGTCCCTGAGCACTCCAGGGACCGAGGTGGCCACTGAGGAATATGGGGCACCATGGCAGAACCAGCAGGTGGTTTTCAAGCCCTCCAGGAGCACCCCCTCCCCAGGGATTTCTCCACAGGTACCTGTAAGGCCGCCTCGGACCTGTGGTGGGACTCCACCAGCAGCAGCTTCTCCTGCTCGTGTGCTCTCTGGAGCTCTGTGGGGGGACACGAGCTGTGTGTCACCAGCACAGTGACATTGGGGCAGCAGGYGCCACCTGAGCCCCTCAGTGCTGGAGAGCAGGGGAGCAGCATCCCCACGAGCCCACAGGCAGCCAGAGGAGCACTGGCAGTAGTGGGGAGAGGGCAGGGGACTGCAGGGWCCCCAGCACACACCTTGCAGGGTCTCTGTGTGCTCCCTCCTCAGGGTTTCAAGCTGCTCCTTCAGCTCCTTTTCCRCCTGGGAAACAGTCAGATGAGAAATCCCAGTGTAAGAGATGCAGAGCTTCACTGCTTTGGACTTCCTAACGTTTTCTTACTCCACCCTTCTCCCAGCAATGGGAGATCCTAGCCCAGCATGTGCCAGGCCCAAGATCACTGGCTGGGAAGTTGTGGCTGATGACACTCTCCATGCCCAGCTGCTGCCCCCAGCAGCACCATTCTTTCCAGCTGACCTGGATCTCARTGTCCTGGGAAATGCCTGCCCGGCCAGCATCCTGCAGCTGCTCCTTCTCCTCCTCCTGGCCTTGGAGGAATCTTGCACTGTCTGTCCACTCCTCTGGCAGTGCTGCCTTCTTCTTCCCATCCTCAGGAAGCAGGGAGGCATTGGCTGCAAGACAAACACAGCTGAAGCAGCACTGGCTGCAGCCTGCAATCCGGGCTGCCTGCACATCCTGGGCAGCTGAACCTGCCACCACAACGGGCCAGGTTCAGCCCTGCCCTCCTCCCACCCAAGAAACACCTCCCTCCATCTGAGTTATCTCTAGCTGGGATGGAACTGGCCAGCTCAGAGAGAACACATGTCTGATTAGTTCTCCTGCTCCAGGGATGACCTGTCTGACTGTGAGGATGGGATGCCATTGGCTCTAGGATGCCACCGACTCATCATCTTTGGGATGTCATTGTCTCTGAGATGCCCTCTTTGCCCTCCTACATCATCCCCGTCCTCCCTGGTCTGTCCTCCGCTTCCTTAATATTACTCTGAGAAAGCAAGGTGGGGGAAACAAGATTTTTTCCTCACCATTCTCTGTCTTCAAGGCCAAGAGCTCCTGGGAAGCCGGACCTTTTTGCTGTTGGGCTTTTAGCTGTCTCTGGCAGAGAGAGAGGRTGCTGGAGCAGGGGGAACAGAGWGGGGCAGGKGGCTGCAGGCACAGAACACCCTGCCCAGAGCCCTCTTCAGCCCTGCTGGAACACCATTCTCGGGGAGCAGTGGTCCCTCCCCAGCTCCCTGCCCTCACCCAGCCCTGAGCACCCATGGGTGTGCATCTGCTCCCCATCAGGCAGCCTCAAGCTCCTGCCACTCTCCTGCATCCCAGACACTTCCCCATGTAAGATTCAGCTGGAAAACCTGGGGGATGCTCACAACACCCCCCTGACACGGTGCTGGTGCAAAATAACTCCAGCAGAAAACATTTGGTGGGGCAGAGCTGGCAGCACTTGGCAGGGCTCCAGCTTTGGCACTCCCTTGCCACCCTCCTCCTGTCCTGGGATGCTCAGAGTCAGCCTCGTCCCTTGCAGCCCCCCAAAACCACGCCTCTGCCCGTGCATTACACAGATGGTTTTTGACACAGCTGGAGCAGGAGTGAGAAATGAAAAATAACCATAAATCAGAGGCGATMCAGCCCCTGTGCAGGGCTGGCAGCAGGCGAGAGCTGGCGGTGGCCAAGCAATGACCTCAGGAGCGCAGGAATGTGCTGCACAGCCCCGCACGCTCCCACTGCTGCCAGGGGGCTGAGATAACCCAGAGCCAGGAGCTGCCTCCAGCAACACAGCTCCATGGGATGCCTTCCAGCCCTGCATGGGTTTAATTTAGTCACTTGAAGGGGGAAAGAGAAAAAAAAAAAAAGAGTGGATATTTTTTTATCAGTTGCTGAAAGATAGAAGCAAAGCTTGGAGGCTTTCACGGCTCAGCCTCACTGGCACAAGACAAATCTGGTCCTTGATGCCCATCACTGGGCAGGGTATGGATGCACCAGGGCGGGCAAATTCACCTGCAGACACATTGCTGTTCTCCAGCCCCCAGCAGAGCTGCCCCTAAAAACACCGATCCCTGAGAAAACCAGCCCTGCTGCCTATGGGAGCCGAGGACCCGCTGTGCCGGCTGCTCCCCGGCTCGGCCCCGCGCACAGCCAAATACAGCCCGGATTAGGGAGGCTGGCTTGGGGGAAAAAAAAAGCAAGGGAAAGCAAACAGGCGGCCCTGTCTCTGCCTCCCCTGCAGTCCCCCTTCTGGAGCTGGAGGGAGGCGCAGTTCCAGAGAGCAGAACTCCAAGCCTCTGGGAAACCACGGCTTTATCTTCCCTTCTATGGCATGAGCAGCCGCGATGTTGAACGTGGCCCAGGCGAGGGGGCGAGGAGGCAGGCGACAGTCAGAGTTCACAGTTTGCTCTCCTTGTCCAYAAAGCGTGGGGTGCCCTGGGATGCTGCTGAAGCCTGGCAGACCCGAGTGCAAAGAGTCCCCAGGGATCCCTGACACACCTCATGCCAGAGTGYGTCTCCTGATGTTTAATGCATCTATGTCCTGTGATGCATTTTGGAGTCAGGACATGGGGGGCAAGGGAAGAGGTGGATGAGACAGTCTGGGTTCTGCAATCCTGAAGGCATCACAGGAATCCCAAAAGGCCTCCTCCCCATATCCCATACCCCCTGCGCAATACCCTCCTTTGTTTCACTGGAAGAGCAAAGGCTGTGTAAAAGGACCCTCCTGCCGCATGGTGGTTACACAGATCCCGAAAGTTTTGGATGATCTCAGCAGATCTGGGAGCAGGATGCTGTTGCCACCTCCAGGAGAAACCCCAAACCCCCAAATMATCTCTGCTGCCTGTGTCCTCACTGGCAGAAATGATGTCCAAGGAGCCGGCTGGTCACCACCACAGCACAGGCATGGTCCCAGGGAATCTTCACCTCTCCCCCACACCCCAAATCCAGCAGGATGGGGCCTCAGAGCCCCTAAGCCTCTAAAGGAAGATGATTTGAGACACCTTCACTGAACTCAGAAGTAGCTGAAGACACCAACAGGTTCACCAGCATCAACAGACAAATCTAAATACTCACCCCGAGGCTATGAGTGAGGCACCTTCTTACCTCTAAGAACAATTAAAATAGTGTCTAGAGCTAATTTTAATCCTAAGCACTCAATTGTCATTTGACATAAAAGCTCTGCCACTTGGGTGAAAAGCAAGATTTGGCTGAAAGCACTGAAACAGAGAGGGACTTTCCACTGCCACTTCCAGAGCAGATTTGTAGCACTCGTGCCTCTGGTATCGCCCAGCACATTCTGGAAAGCTGGAAAATAATCCTGGTATCCACCGTGTGTGGAAGGAGCAGGTTGGGAATCGCTCCAGCTGGAACAGCTTTGGCCAGGGGAAGAAGCAGCCTGACACATCCTGCAGGTGGGGGCCATCCACAGCGTGGATTATCCTGTAAAGTCTTGGAAACMTCTGCCAAAAATACCTTCCARCTATGAAAAAAMCAGAAGTATCTACACACTTARAACTAAATATTTCTAAYAGTCTGCAGCAGAACTGTTTATGGRTGGATTAACAGGGATTTCCAACAGGACCTGAGTCATCTCCAAGGGTGCCAGGGGCAGGGAGCACCAGTGCAGAGGCAGCTGCACACTGTGGGCAGCTGAGGTGGCTGCAGTCTCTGCTTGAGGTCTTAGCATGAGGTGGGGTTTTGGACTCTATTTTTCTTCCTCTTTTCCTGTTTTACAAGTACATTAAGCAATTCAACCATGCARCCTAGCAAAGGAAATCACAAAGAGGCAGGAAATGAGTATTTAAATCCTGACTGCTCCTGGAGAGGAGGTTTTGCTTTGTGGCTGTGGAGAAGGGGGCCAGGATTTGGTCCATGACTGTAACACCTCCCAGGACCTGCAGCAGATGCTCAGATCTGCCAGAGCGGTGCTGGCACGGGTCTGTGGAATCTGCCTTCAGCTCTGCTGCTGTCTTTCCTCTGGTGATGTTGTGTTAGGAGATGATTATCACCTCTCCTACAGTCAGATCTGTGCCACAGACCATACGCAAACACTTCACRCTGTTAACAGCCCCGAGTTTTGCATTCTGACCCTTCCCTGACTCCTGCTGCTACGTACAGATCCTAGCTCTTCAAATAAATTCACCCCAGCCCTGGAAGGCGGCCAAACCTCAGCCCTGATCTTTTGGGAAGGCAGTTTGGCCTCTCTCATGCCAGGAGCGTGACCAAAGCACGAGTGGTGACCGTGAGTGACCAAGCACGGGTGGATGAAGCTGAAGGGGAAGGGAACCCCAGGGACAGTGTCCAGCTCAGGACTGCTTTCTCTCTGTGCCTCCCTTATCATCCTGCTGCCCGCAGACTAGTGCCAGGGAAGGATGAGGCTGCCAAGCYGCCTCCCCTGGGGCACACAGTGGCTCCTGGTATGTCATCCAACCACCAGACCCAGCCCAGCACCGACTCTTCAAGGTCACCTCTAACCCAGGACTGGCCTCAAAAGCCTCTGCAGTCCCCAGCCCCATTACAGTCTCAAATCCTGTGACCTGCACCTGGGCTCTGGCTGGGCTTGCTCCTGGGGGTTGAGGGCTCCCCCAACCTCAAGCAACCCCAAGGGACCAACTCTGCAAGTCCACCCATCAGCAGTGGGAATTGAAGGTCTCCCACTGTGCATTTTGGAACTCTGGACACAAAACATAGGCAGGAGTGGCCCCATGTCTGCCTTTATGCCTTTTAGCCATAATAGGGATTTTAGGTACTACTTTCAGAATGACTTTCWGTCCCGGCAGCAGGCCTGTTTTATGGGTAACAACTGTTGGTGAGCAGTGACACAGGGCTGAGCAGAGAAGCTCGAGAGCGGGCAAGTGCAGGAAGGGAGGCGTCTGCAGGCAAATGACAAATTTCCGCRTTTTGGTAAACGTGGGACTCTCAGCACCTGGGGCTTTGGGGTTGCTGTTTCTTCCTGTCCTGTACCCATTCTCGAGAGCTCTCAGAGTCACACACCAGCCCACAAGTGTCTGATCTTATAGCCTGGCAAAGAGTGGGATTTTTTCCGTGATGTGGAGAAGCAGCTAAACCTGCAAGTGCTGTAAATAAAGGCACTTGTTGGCTGCAGGGCTGTGTAAGCCTCGTGCCTGTTTCCCCTGCACATCTAGTGGGTTCTGGGTCCCGGGCAGCCCGGCTCTCACAGCTGGATCTGCAAAGGCTCACCCATGCCAGGGGCAGGGCAGCACACGGGGCCTTTCTGCCTTCCCTCCTGCCCTTGTCACCCTCCAGCGATCACAACACCCGACACTGGTAGGCAAAGCACATCCGACAGCACAAACATGTCCCGAGGTCACTAGTACGGCACTGGGGCAGCCTGAGCGCGTCAAATAATAACAACAGTAACAACAACAATGATAATAACAACCAGCAGATAATTTTTAGTGCTGAACTCCAGGAAGAGCACTTCAGTGGAGAGCACTGTGCTAAGATCTGTGGGGGATTCAGTGTTCCCCTAAACGAGCGATGCCTTCAGCACTAAGGGACACAGCTTTTGGGATGAGGGAGGATGCTGTGGGAGGCTGGCAGAGCTCTAGCTGAGGGAACCCATCCCTGTCTTTTATGGGATCAGCGTTTCCAGCAGGCATTGTCATCCCAGATGCTGCACCCCGTTAAGGTATGAACTTTCTGTGATGTGAGGGTGAGCCTGAAAGGGTGCAGGAGGGTGCAGGAGGGCAGGTGGCTGCCAGCTYCCATTGTCCCCGCTGCCACCTCCCCCGCCACAATGCCGGTGGGGTCCCACGCAGCCGGGGACAGCCACACCGCCCGGCCCCACCGCTCCCCGGGGCAGGGAGGAACCCACGCCAAGTGTCCCCAACATCCCTCATCCCCAGCAGTGCAAGCACGACTCCACGCAAACATCAGCCCCACGCGAACCCCAACTCCGACAGCGTGTACATCGGTCCCACGGGAGCCCGACCCCACGCGAACCCCCACCCCGGGTGAAGCCCAGCCCAAGCTCAGCCCAGCCCAGCCCAAAAATCCCCGCTACCTCGGCACCGACGGGGCAGCAGCGCAGGGAGCTGCCGGTGCAGCCCATGGAGCCCCGGCGGGACCCGCTCAGCAGCGGAGCGCGGGGCGCGGCATCCCCCGGCGAGCGGCACCGGGCGGGACGGGACGGGACGGGAGGGGATGAGCCGCCCCAGCTGGCAGCCAGAAAAAAATAATTAAAAAAAAAAGTAATAAAAAAGTCCAGCAGCTGCTGACAGGCAGCACCGGGAGAGGGTGCTCTGCACCCCCGAGCCGCGGGCAGGGCCCCCGGCCGCAGCCTGCCCGCCCCCGGGGCTGGCCCTGGGTCCCCTCCACCCCGGGGTGTCCCCGCCCTGGGCCGGGGTGCTGCGGGAATGCTCTGTCCCTGGGGTGCCCTGCACTGAGGATGCTCCATTCTGSGTGTGGGGTAAGGAGAGCAGGACCCCTGCACTGGGGGTGTCCTCTCCTGTGTGAGGAGAAAGGACAGCAGGACCCCCAGCACCAGCTGCTCAGGGGGCTTCCACTGCTGAACCCAGCACAGCCCCCTTAGCAGAAGGGATGAGAGGGAGAAAGCAAAATCCATCCGGCTTTTGCCATCACTCCATGAAGTTTCAGCTTGTGCAGGGGTAGTTGTGAAAAAGTGATGCAATTGGGGTGTTTATCCTGGCAGGAGCTCTGGGGGTCATTGTGCTGGCTGGAGGAGGCTTTCGCTGTGGTTCGTACTGCCTGAGGGACTGCATCCTGGCAACCCTTCTCTTGAGCATCCCAAACACCCCGAATGCTGGGCCTGGAGCCAGGGTGCCCTTTTCTGGGAGGAAATCCTACACTTTGGAAATGGGTCCTGAACACATAAGGAAAGACATGGATTTGAAAGTATCCCGTCTAAAAAAAGGAGGAAAAGCAGGTTCCTCCAAATATTTTGATGATTTAAAATTTTTTTAATTATATTTTTTTAGTAATTTCTAAATGACCACACATCCGGACCTGAAAACTCACTGGTGCTACTCAGAACTGCTGAAATAGAAGGGTTTCAACCAGGTCATGAGGCCCTGCCTGTATGGAAACATTGCAAGTTTTTGTCARCAAGTTTCTATTCTGACATTTTCCAAATATCCCCTGGGAGAAGTCCAAGCAGTCTGCAGCTCCAGGGATGCCAACACCTTGGCATTTCGCCTGAGCAGCCAGGGAGTGGAGGTGCCTGGTCGTCCTGTCACGTTCGACTTGGAGGTGTTTTTCTTGCCCTGGTAACCCTGGCAGGGAGGAAATTGTGAAACACCACTTGGATGGGAGGGTGGGGAAGCGAGGGGCAGGCCCGTGCTGCCCCAAGTCTCCCTGGGACTGGTGGGACCAGTTGTCTTCGTCCTTTTGGGTGGCTGTGCWTTAACCTGAGTGAAGTTTCATGAGTCACAGCAGCCTCTGGCAGCAGCTCCCATTGCTGAGAAACCACCGAGAGCGTCTCTGTTCTTATCTCTCTCAGCACTTCAGAGCCGGGCAAGTCTCCTTCCCTGCATGAGAGTAGTTATTTAGGCTCAGTAGATCGTTTGTGGGATAAAAGGCTCTGCTAGCGCAAGGTGCCGGTCTCCACCTTTCCAGGGTTAATTAAAAATCCCGGTCCAGACTYTAGAGCTGAAGGCCTACAGGGGCGAGCACAAGAGCACGTGTGGATTTCCAGGCTGAATTTGAATCGTGGGGCCGGGGTTGCAAAAAGAAGCAACTGTGTGGGCAGCTGACGAGGAGCCTGCCCAGCTGCCATCACGTCTTTCTGGTGCACAAGGATCCAGTAGTTTGAACATTTGCTGGTGGAAATTTCTGCTTTTAACTGAGGGGTGCCAAGGAGGTGCTCTGGGATGCCCGTGTGCCACAAACTGAGGCTCCAGGTAGGGTTTCTCTTGCCAAAGGTGGAGATAAAACAGAGTTTGGTCACATCAGTCTGAGACATAAAGCCAGCAGGGCAGAACTGGGGATTGGAGATGKCTCCAGCACCCTGATCCCCAGCCTCTGCTGCAGGCTCTGGTGTGACAAGCCTGTGCTTTTAGAGATCCCTAAATTGGAAACAGGGCTGCCCAGACCACGTTACATCCTTCCTTCAGCCCATGGGTGCATCTGTGAATCTGCTGGCCAAAAGCCTTGCCTGTGCTGCCCCAAAGGTCTCTTATTATATCTTAATTTTAGCAATCCTTCAGTTTCTCCAATCTTTCTTGTGCAGGCTGCGTGGGATGTGTGCCTGCCAGAGAGATCTTTCATCTCAGCCCTGTTTTATGYGCTTCTGCCCAAATACACTGAAAACTTGCTCCCTTTTCTCAGGGCAGCACTTAAACAGCAAGAAACTGCTCTGTTCAGCTGTTTTGGAGGGAAGCAGGGGCTTTCCCTGGCATTGTAGAGGTAACCAGAGCACTCTGGGGATCTGGGGAGCAAAAGGGCTGGAGGCTGCATGTAGCACTGGAGACGAGGAGTGTGGCAGTGAGCAGATTTCTGCCCCCACAAAGACAGGAAAGCAGAGGCAGCATGTGATGGTCCCACCTGAGGCAGCTTTAGCGTGTTTTGAAGTTTGCCTAATATCTTTTTTTGGTGTTATCTTGATCTCTTCCCAGGAATGACAGCAGCTGGAGACATCTCTAGGGTTTTGTCTAGAAAAGTGAGACGAGGAGGCTTTATCACATGCTCTGCTGAATTGCCGTAAATGGGATAACAGCTGGAAAGTCGAGTTAATTTGTACCAATGGTCATTTAAAGTGTTTGCCAAAGCTTATGGATAAGAAAAGCATTTGTGCAAACTGTTTAAGTGTCTCTTGTGGCTCTCTCTCTGGCTCCAGCTGGTAGGGACTGGGCACGACAGGATGGGTACAAGGCAGTGCCAGCCCTGCATGGTTTGTTTGCAGAATGGTTCTGTGAGTGCAGATGGGGTCATTCCTTTTTTTTTTTTTTTTTTTGTGTATCTTATTTTCAGAAAGCCAGTCTGGAAAAAAAAAAAAAAAAAAAAAAGAAAAAAAAAGAGAGGTGGAGGAAAGTTTGGTGGAAGTTTTTTTGGTGATGAACTGGCTCATGATGATACCTGATGGGTCCTGGCAGAGCTGCAGCCCAGGCAGTGGAGAGAGGGTGGTCGTGGTTACACCCTTCAGCCCTGCTCATCACTTGCAATCTGTTTGCTTTTGTAAATGAGAACTGATGAAGTGCTGGCCGCTTTTTTCAATGCAAATGAATGGTGTTTAACCAGGTCTGCTGAGACCTCGTGACTCGACTTTGCATGGGTGAGATAGCTGAAAAAACTGTTTGAACTGCAGAAGTTCCCAAATGTGTTGGAGCCCAAAAAAGGCCACAGGCTCCTTTAGTGGGGATCTAGGTCACACATATTTCTGCCTTGGGGAAGTGCAACGATTTCMAGTCATTCCTGTCCTTGCCTGTGTTATTCCAAGCAAAAAGATGTGGGTTAACTTGTTCTCACAGTCTTTTATTCTCTTTTTTTTTTCCCCCATGGCAAAATGAAGTGGAAAAAGATGGGAATAAGGGAGTGAAAGCTTCACCCACGCTGGCTGTGAGAAGCAGAAAAGCTTCCCATGTGATKGCAGGGGCTCAAGGTGAGGGGCTCTGCTCCCCTCCCAGCCCCAAACACAATGCTCCGTCTGTGCCCGTGCCTCTACCCATGAATCCCAATCCTTATCCCTGTCCTCCGGCTGCTCCAGGGCCTCAAAGTGAAAACTAATCCCAGGGGATAACTTTCCGCTGGGTTCCCGGGTGGGAGGAATGGGCTATTTATTCCTCACCCTTAAGCCGCAGCAGTGGATCAGCGGYGCAGTTGTCGCTGCCGGCGGGGTGGGCAGCAGCATCCACCACATCCCCTGCCTGCTCCCACGCCCTGCCTGCACGCTCCCGCTCGGCCTCGCTGCTAAATAAGGACGAAAAGCTAAAAATAGAGCTCAGACAGGGGTTTGGACAAAGCTAAGCAGCCCTTCCCAGAGCTGGGAGCGATATCGGGAAGCCAAGCAGTGTCCACGTGCAAGGGAGAGTGGAGCTGACCATGGGGAAGGGTCTCACAAGTGGGTCCTGACCATGCTGTGAAAACGGGGAAGGTCTGACACCAGCCACACTTAGTCCTATGTGCTCAGTTCCCTCAGCCCCTTCCAGCTTTCCGCAGGATAAAGGCATCTGTCTGCCAAAACATATGGGAAAACCCACACTCCAGTGCTATTCATGATGGCAAGGTACCAGCGTGGCCATTCTAGCATGACGGGGATGCCTGAGGCAGCTGTCTGGAAAATGATCCACAAAACAGGGGGTAAGGATGGAAGAGGGGGTGTTAAATCCAACATTTTGGATAGATGGGGTGTAGGGGTACTGTGGCAACCTGCCCAGTCAGGGGCTACCCGATGCCAGAGTGCCCCCTCCCCCCGCTCGCACATGGCATCGGGTTCGAGGGTCTCAAATATCTGAAATATCTGAAATATCTGAAATATCTGAAATATCTCAAATATCTCTGCTCTTCAGCTGTCACCTGCCCTGTGCCGAGCGTGGGGGGAGTGTGGGGGTACTGAGCAGAGGGTACCGACCCTCCCACGGCCGGGGCAGCACCGAGTGGGATTGTGAAGAGAGCCACAGCCCAGGGTGGAGGGGTGGGCAGTGGGGAGATGGTCGGGTCTCCCCCATCGGAGCGGGGTGATGTGTGTGCCCTGGGCTGGAAGGTGCAGCTCCCTCCCCCCCCAGCTCCAGTGCCGGCTCTGGGAGCTTGGGAAAGCGCAGCTTCCCGTCCCAGCATCCCTGCGAGTCCAGTCCTGCGCTTGGCAGCGAGACCGGGAGGGGAGGGGAAAAAAAAGAAAGCAAAAGGGGAAGGGAAAATGTGATCGTCCTCGGGGGAGGAGGGAGGGGAATCGGGCAGTGGGCTGGGCACGGAGGGAGGGCTCGTCCCCTCCGTACGGGGCTTCTTAGTGCTGCCGCTGCCGGCCCGGTCCCCCCACTGTTCCTGCTCGCCGCTTGCCTATCCGCCGCTCGGAGCAGCTCCCCGGATCCATCCCGGCTCGTTCCCGGCTCGTTCCTGGCTCGTTCCCGGCTCGTTCCCGGCCCATTCCCGGAGGATGCTGTGCGCGGGGCTGGCGCTGGCGCTGTGCGCGCTGCAGCTCGTCCCGGCCGCGCTCGCCGGGCCGCAGCCGCCGCTGCTGGTGGAGCGCATCGGGGCCCGGCACCTCCGCAAGGTGAGAGGGGACCCCGCAACCCGCACCCCTCGGGCACGGAGGAGGCTGCCGGGAGGGGCTCGGGACTTGAAGGGGTGGACAGGGGACGGTTCCGTCATCCCACTGGGWTTGCAGACCAGAAGCATTTCGTGCCCCTGCAGGGTGGAAGGTCGCTGGTGGGTGCGTGTTTGTGGCTGGCCAGGGGAGTGGGGTCCATGAACCCCCCGGGACTCCGCAGCCCCCCGCGCTGGGGAGYGGTGCTGGAGGTTGGGGGTCAGCTCAGAGCAGGATGATCMGGTGTTTGCAAACACTTCTCAACGYAGMAAACCAGAGGCCTCGTCCTTCGGATGAGCGTCTCCCGGCTCTCATTTTGCTGTTCCACGAATCTTTTCCAGTCCAGCTTCTGCTTCGCTATTCCCACGGAGTGCGGGGCCGGGCTCATTAACACGCGATGATTAAGATACATGCAATTACCACGTGTATTACCGTGTAACTCTCACTCAGTGTGGAGGGAAATATCGCAATTTATTTTCCAGGGAAGCTGCGCTTGCCCGAGGGAAGGGGGAACCTTGGTTGGGAAGGCTGGAGGGGGCTCGGGGAGCAGCAATCTGCAGCCACTCACCGATGTTCAGCTCCCTGGAGCCTCTTCGCCTGCCCACTCTCGGGCTGAGGACTCCCGGCTCTTGCTAAGTGCCGGGGTTCAGCCTGCCCCTGCTCCAGCTTGCCCTGAGCCCCATGTCCTGCCCCGGGCTGCTGCCGGCGGGCGAGCAGGATGGTTGGGATGGGCTGCTCACCTGCGTGGGCAGCGCTGTGCCCGCTGGGGCTGCCGCGTAGCACCGAGCAATACAGCCTCCACCGGTTCTGCGGCTGCGAGCCCCACGTCATGGCATGGGGCACGGGCTGCTCAGGCCAAACCTGCTCGGGGAGGGAGCTGGGGCTGCTGTCTCGCCACTCGCCTCTGGCAGGCAAGTGCTGCTATCCCTCCACCACTGAATTGGAGTGTTGTTACTGGTGGTGGCTGGGGAGGTTGTAGGACTTGTAGGAAACAGGGCAGATCTCCCAGCATGGCTCCTAACTCAGGACACAGTAAGTCATGTCCCTCATTTGAGTGACATCTCCTTACGTGTTGATTTTCATGATTCCATAGGGCAGTGCTGCTTTCCTGGCTCATTTGTACTCTGGATAAGGATTTGCACTCATTTGTAGCTCAGGATCAGGCCCCAGGGTGTATCAGGCAGAGGATGAGCCTGGCTTTTCTGCTCCCTGAGTGTGATTCCTACTTCTGTGTGGAACCGGGTGGCTGGAGCTGATGGAGGAGGGCTCACAACAGCAGGGCTGGTCCTGGATGAGGAGGGAGGCTGTGCCAACCCCACAGACCCTTCAAGGGGATCCCCCCACACTTCTGTCCAGCATCTCCCTGGACAGTGCTGTCACCACCTGGTCCTAGCTTGGCCTGACCTATCCCTTCACATCGTGCTTGATGCCGTTGGCATGAAGGATGAACCATCTTGCCTTGGTCRAGTGTTTGGAGGCAGAGCTGAGGCAAGTTTGGAAATTGCAGCCTAGTAATCCTTTTTGGCTATAAAATACATGCAGAGGCAAATGGACCGAGGGTTTCTGCAATGTCCTCAGGCTCAGAGAACTGGGAGTTCAAGAATTGGCATTTGAAGRTGCTGAAGGTAATTTTCTGGCTCTTTGTGAGCAAATGTTTGGCAGGGATCAGAGGTGCAGCTCTGGATAAACCTGCAAACACAAGACAAGACTTGCCCKTTCTCTAACTCCTCCTGTTTCTCGGTGCTGCAGGTTGGTGGCTTTGCCTGGGAGAACTGTGGTGACAAGAGTGACCCTGTGGTGTTGCAGAGCCTCTCTGTGGCACCCGACCCCATCAGAATCCCAGGGAGCCTGCGTGTCAGTGCGGCTGTCAAAAGTGGCAAGACCATGGCTTCCCCTCTGAAGGTRAGTGCCAGACGTGCCTCCATGTGGTGAGGGCGGGCAGAGCTTCCCAAAACCACTGGCAGCTGGGAAATGCTTGTCACTGGTACAAGAATGAGCAGCCCTTTGGGAGTGAGGCACAGAGGGGTGCAGGGCTGAGCACACTGGGCTCTGTTAGCCAGAACAGGGCAGTGGGTGTGGGGAGACCTGTGGTRGGAGCAGAAGCAGACAGTCCAGCTGGAGCCTCTCAACCTTGTCCCGTGGACAGAAACCACCTGAGATGTCTCATGACCCAGGAATGTAATGGCTTCAGGAGGGAAATGAAACCCAAGGGCTGTGGGTGCTCTGGAGGTCACTGCAGCACTTGTTTTTCAGCAGCCAGACCCGGCTGCTTCCTTCAAGGATAAGCCATGGTACTGCTCTGGGAGTCTTGGGTCATGCCAACTGCCCTGCACTACTTTTTGGGAAGTTTTTGGAATGAGGTGGAACATGTCTCTTTGTCCAGTGTGCCTGGGCTGTCTCGAGCAATGCTATGGTGCCAGTTTGGGCCTTTGACTGTGCCTGCGTGTGCTGGGGAAGTGTGGAGCCAGAGCTGCAGGATGGGAGCACGCTGTTTTGGGACAGGCAGACGAGAGGGGAAGGAGGTCAGGATRTGAGGTGTTGGGGTGTGTTTGATTAAGGGGTCAAGCTGAGGTTGGAGGAAGAGAAATTGCAGGTTGGGAGGAACTGAAAGCAGGAGGGGGAGACAGGAGGGTGACCCATGGACACCCCAAAGATTGCGTGATCGGGAGCTGTGTGAGCAGCTGTGGGTGCTCCTGCCGGTTGTGCTGGTGCTGAACATCTTCCCTCCAGGCAGTGCTGCTGGTAGAGAAGGCTCTGGGTGATCTCTGGATCCAGCTGCCCTGCATTGACCAACTGGGCAGCTGCACCTACGACGATGTCTGCASCATTCTGGATCAACTCATCCCACCCGGCACGCCCTGCCCGGAGCCCCTGCTCACCTATGGCATCCCCTGCCAYTGCCCCTTCAAAGCGGTATGGCCGAGCCCCTGCAGCGATGCTGGCAGTGCCAGTGGCTACYACTGTGCCCTTTGGCACTGGGCTGGGCTTTAGGTTGACCTCTTGCCTATCTGTGCCTTCTCTCCCCAGGGCTCCTACTCCTTGCCAGCCAGCGATTTCGATGTGCCTGATGTGGAGCTCCCTTCCTTTATGACCAAYGGCAACTACCGTGTCCGGGTGGTGGTCAGCAGTGGTGGGGAGGAGCTCAGCTGTGTCAAACTGGCCTTCTCTCTGCACTCCCACTGAGGGCTGGGACACCATCCCTCCTCTCCCCATCAGCGTGGTCCCTTCTCCCGTGCCATCCATTTGCACCGCATCCTGTCCCAACCCATCCCTGTGAGGTCCATCCCTCCTGTTGTCAGGAGGAGGCAGCTCCTGTCCCCTGCCTCAGTGCCCCCWCCCCTGCTACACCCAGAAAGGCCCCTTTGGCTGTTCTGCTGTCCCCAAACCCATCACCAGGGTGTCTCCTGCCTCGACAGGGTGGTCTTGGAGCCTAACCCCAGCTTGACCTGGGGYTGTTATTTTTTATCTAGTTATTTTTATTTTTCTTAATCCTATCAGGGCAATTTTTGACAGAAACATTCCAGGGAAAAGCAGTATTTTTTTGAGCAGTCCGTGGGGATGAARGAGTGTTTGGGAGTGCTGGGGTAGGCTGGACAGATGCAGCACTAACTGCAGAGGGTGCTCCCACCTCCCACCACCTCTGGCCAGACCATGGGGCTGTTTTGCAGAAGTGTCCCCAAAGTGGCTGCASGAGTCCTGTCCCCATGCAGCAGCTCTAGGTCTTCTGTTGATGCACCCCTGTCCTGCTTGGGGCACCAGCTTGGTACCATGAGGCACCTGTGAAGGCACCTCCCCATGCCCCTCCTGTGGCAAACATCAGGAACACAAGGGGCTGGGAACCACCCGAGCCCCACACGGACAATCCCACTTAGGGGGCACCAGGAGGCTGGTGACACTCCCAGCAGCAGAAGAGGTGGCTGGCTGCTGGCTGTGCTCACTCCAGAGGGCGACACAAGGCTGGGTTCAGTTGCTGGGGCACAGCCTGGCCCAGGACCAGTCCCACTCATCTCATTTTTGCTCTGGGAGTGAGCCGAGGCAGGACGCTGCACTGGGACCATCCTTCCCCTGTACTGGAAGAGGCACCCAAACACAAAGCAGCCTCCTGAACATACCATAACTGGGAGATGACCATGCAGACAGCAGCCTGGATCCTRTTTGAGGGCCTCCTGGCTGTGGCTGGGGACTGTGATGTGGGCAGGTGTCCTTCCTGCTGCAGCTTCAGKCAGGGTGTGAGTCTGTCATCACTCCCCTGTGCTAGGTGCCACCAGCCACCCACATCCCTTGCTGTCTCTGCCTGCTTGTGTTATTTAGCCCCTCGAYTGGGCTGGTCTTCTACAAGCACTTTATATGCCTTAAATGCTGTGGGTGTTCCTCCATCCCGCAGACATGCTCCCACTGCCTTTCTGTGCACCCCACTCGCTTTGTTTCAYCCCGTGGCTTTGCCTGGAGAAGCACTAACCCTCTGCCCCCACTCCCTGCCAGTGCCGGGGCAGCAGCCTCCTTTTGGGCAGGTTCTGCAGATTCTTAATAAATCTTTTTACCAGGAAGTGGAGCTGATGCCTCTTAATGCTGGGGGTGACATTGGTTTCTCATGGAATAGTGTGGACATGGGTGTGAGCTAGGGGAGGCGGAGGTGGTGGGGTGGTGGCAGCAGTGGWGGATGCTGTGGCCAGAGGAGTTGAGCTGCCCTGAGGCTGGTTCCTGTGTGAGGGGCAGGGCAGGGATCTGAAAGCGCTGCTTTCTGAGGTGAGGCCACAGAGACACATCCACGGACCTGGGGGGCACAACCCATGCTGAAGGGTTTTGAGGGTGTCACTCATCCTGTGACCTTCTATAACCCTGACTGACACCTGCATGGCTCTGCAGGCCTTGCCCAAGCTGCTTTGGGGGATCACAGAATCACTGAGCTTGAAGAAGWCCWMTGCTATCAAGYCCAACTCATGGYTGAACACCAYTRTGTYGACTACACCACASTGCTGAGTGCCATGTCCAGTCTTTCCTTAWAYACCKCCAGGGATGRTGACTCCACCACTTCCCTGGGCAGTCCATTCCAATGTCTAATCTATGAAGAAAGACTTCCTAATGTGCAACCAACATTCCCTGGCGTAGCTTAACTTTTGTCCTGTAGCGACAGGTTGCCTGGGAGCAGAGGCCGACCGCCACCGGGCTTCACCTTCGTTTCAGGGAGTTGTGAAGACCCATAAAGTCACCCCTGAGCCTCCTTTAGGCTGAATCCCAGCTCCCTCATAGTAATCGTGCTGCAGACCCTTCCCCAGCTGCGTTCCCGTCTCTGGCCGCCCCTCAGGCTGTGAGGGGTTCGGGGTTCGGGGCTCGGCCCTCCCGCCTTCCCTCCGTCCCTCCCGCCCGCCAGGGGGCGCACCGCGCCGCGCCTCTGCCCGGCCGCTCCGGCCCCGCCCCTCGCCCTCAGTGCTCCCGCGCGCAGGCGCCGCGCTCAGCTGAGGCGCGGTCACGTGACGGCGCGGCCGAGCGAGCGGGCCCGGCGGGGCCGGGCGGTGCGGGGCGGCGGAGAGGTGCGGGACCGGGACAGGAACGGGGACCGGGGCGGGACAGGGCTGGGACAGGGACCGGGAGTGCGGGTGGGGGCTGTCAGCCGCCTGTCAACCGCCTGTCAGCCGCCTGTCAGCCGCCTGTCAGCCCGCGGCGTGCTCAGGGACGCGAGGGGCGCGGTGGCCCCCATGGATGCGCGGGTCCCGGCGGTGCTGCTGTGGGGTCTCGGGGCAGCCTGGGCGCGCTGACAGAACTCGGGGTTCCAGGTCATCGCTGGCAGCCCTTGTGCGCGGGCGGGTGTTGAGGGCCCGGGGGTCCTGGCAGCTGACACGGGTGCTGGGGGTCYCTGGSGGTGCTGGAGGCTGACRTGGGTGTTCCGGGSTGTGCTGGTGTTGCCCTGCATGAAGGCTGGCACGACATGGGGCTCCTCTCGGAGTGCTGTGTAGGGGGCACAGCCCCCAGTGTGGGGTGCGGGATGCTGCGTGGCACTGGGAGGTTATTTCAGGCAGCCCCACACTTTGTGGGGTGCTGCTGTGCTGCTCCGTGGAGGTGCAAGGGTGGCTGGGCAGCACAGCCTGGCTGGGGTGGGAGCTGTGGAGACTGGTGGGGTTTGTGTTCAGCAGTCTCCCTGTATGGAGAAGCTGGGCAATGGGGACCAGGACATGCTGTGAAACATTGGAAAGGTGAATCTGGGGGTTCTCTGCAGCTGTGGAAGCACTGGGTAGCACAGGGACAAGAGGACTGATGCTGTGCCTGGGAGGTGCTGTGCTGGCRTGGGCACGGTGACCGGGGAAGGGGCTTGTCCGGAGCCTCCCTGCAGGCAGGGCAGGGGGATCTGGCATTGTCTGTCCCTTCTGTCATGCTGAGGTGGGTTATTACAGCCAGTGCTTTGGAAATGAAGGATTCAACGCGTACGATGGGAAGTATCAGTGAGTTTTATTGTGAAGCTCACTTTTCTGGTGGATTTCCCGATCTACATACAGCCCCTGCTCAGTTGGAGAGAGTTGTCAGGATCAGCAGCACCTCACATCTTGCTTCCGACTTCTGGCATGGGGCTGTAACTGTAAGGGACAAATTTCTGTCACTACCCCCCAGCTTTTTAATATGATGAAATTGTTCCTGTGTGTAGGTGGCAAAAAAATGCACATGAAAGTGGCCAGGGAGTTGGGTTTTAAGTGGAAACTGAATGTGGATGTTCTTGTCTTTGCTGTTAGCAATGATGAGGAAATGGCATAGTGGGGTTTTGCTTTGGTTTGAAGTGTTTGTCRTGTGGATRAGACAAGTTTTGCAGCTTTTTCTTGTTGGTTGTGGGAGAGCGGAGCACTCGCTCCCTGCTCCTACGCAACCTTTAATCCAGACACAAGGCAGGCAAGTCACGATGAATGCATTTCCCTGGCTCTTCAAAGCAAAAAGCAGACAGGCCTGCTTGAAGGGGGAAAAAAAATCCACAGGGAGTGATCAGGCAGAGTGATGTCACCATATTGTGTTTATCTGGAAGACATCACGGTTGGGTACTTCGGTTGCTATGCAGACGATCTTTGGGAGGGGTGCCCATGCCCGACCCAGCCCTGCACCCTCTCTGCCCACTGTCCTTGCCCACTGCAAGCCCATGGTGCTTGGCAAAGCCTCCCAGGTCTCTCTCCTGCCCCTTGGGCCCGTCACCAATGACAAATAGCTTGTAACGCTTTCCTTGTGTAAACTCCTGCTGCCGCTCTTCCCAGTCCCTGCCTTGCTGGATCACTCTGCTTGCGGCAGAGCTGGTTCAGGACATGATTACGTGTCCCAGCTGCCAGGGAGGAGGCTGGGCAGGAGTGATGCATGCACTGCCTTTGGCTCTGGAGTGCCTGCCAGCCTCACCGCTGCTACAGAGCCTGGTATTCCATGGGACACACCGCTGCTTCCTGCTGCTGGTGTTGCCTGGTGMTGCAGGAAATWCAGCACCACTGTTGTGGCCYGGATAACTGCTCCAGAGCAGCTGGRATCTGGAGCATCCAGAGTTGAAGAGCGACCCTTGCTCCCTGCTACCCTTCTGATCCAGGTTGGACCCTHCCAGTGGTTGCAGCTCTTAGCTGGTTTTCCATATAGCGGCTGGGTTTGCAGAGTGTTCTCTGGGGAATGGAGCAGCACCCGAATGGCCTGGGCTGAGCATTCCCTGCACAGGCCAGATGTGTTGGTCTGTGCTGGGACCACATCCGGCAGGCGCTCGTGTGACTCCGTGGGTGCACGAGGAGCTCTGGCAGGAAACGAGACAGTTTTTTGCAGTAGTGACATTTCTTTGCTGCTTCCTCTTGCTTCCAGTGCTGAGGAGTGGGATGTGGAGCACCAGGACTGCTGGGGCAAGGGTGATGCCTGGGGCATGACAGCCCAGAGGAGCTGTGGGGCAGGGTCTGGGTCGCCAGTCTGTGGCGCAAGAGTCTTACGCATAATTTCCCTGCCTCTGGTGCTCCTTCCCAGCGGGTGTTTGGGATGCGGGGTGTGGCATGTGTGGGAATTGAACCAGCTGACAGTTTTCCAGATGAAGGCACCAGGTGTGTGTCCTTGGTGAGGCTTGTGCTGGTTCTTCTGGCTTGCTGGACACTGCAGGAGTTTTTGCTGRAGCAAGAGCTCCAGGCTGTGCAGGTGCCTAATCCTGGGAAGCCCCTTGGTCCCACAGGCACCTCCTCAGCTGTGAAACCTTTAGGGAAGGTGTTTTGCTGTCAGCACATGGTCTGTGCTTGTCTCTGATGGGAGTATAATATATATATATTTTTTTTAATTCTCTTTAATAAAAAGTCTTCAATAAGGGAAAAAAAAAAGGAAAAAAGAGAAGTTAGGAAACTTTCCCTTCCCTGGCAAGAGCAAGCTGTTCCCTTGCAGCACACTGTGTGCAAGTTAAAAGCAGTTACACTTTCCTGGMCCATTCGCTTGACAGCCCTAGTCCYGAGTGCCAGAGCAGGGGACACWGTGCCAGCATGTCCCCTCCTGCCCCACTGCCTGTGATGTCACACTCCCCACCCTTAGAGCAGGGCTACACAGCTCCCTTGTCTGACATGAAGTGGGTCACATYCAGGCTCTGCCTGTGGGATCCTGACCCCGTTTTGTCTGGGTGTGCCCAAAACMTGGGCACAAGCCTGAAGGAAGAGCCAGTGGGAATGTGCCATGCACCTTTGACCTTAGGACATGCCAACTCYGTGATTGCTTGGGCGGGAGCATGTGGCTGTATAAAAGCCCTGGAGGAGACCTTGCTCTGGCAGTGTGAGCCRGTCTCTCTGCACGATGGCTGACCCCAAGGAGCCTGAGAATGGGAGTGTCGAGCTGGGCACCCCTAATGCCGCTGTCCCCACAGGGACCATGTCCACCCGGCGCCTCCGCAGCGAGGACTACAATGACTACAGCTCCACGGATGTCACGCCAGAGGGGAGCCCTCCCGAGGGCATGAACGGCTTTGCCCACCCTGAGTCCTACCAGCGCTTCGGGGAGACCAATGGGACAACGTGAGTGACACTTCTTCCTAGACTGGCCCAGCACTGGGGAGGGTGGAGGAGGTCCTGGTGGCTGTAAAAAGTCTGCCAGCTTTGTTGGAGGATGGTGGAGCCGTGGTTTTATGGGAAGTTCTCCTGGGGAGATGAGGGCAGAGCTGTGGTCCTGCTACTGTGGGGTGCTGGCACCAAGTGAGCAGTTGCCCCAGTGTTGCTCTTTGCTCTCTGGTGAAGCTGGGCTTCTCTGAGCCTCAGAGATGTCCTTGTGCAGCTCCTTGGTGCTGGGCTGTGCTTGTGCTGGGTTTTGCCATGAAGCTGGTTTTGCAAATGCTCATCCAAAATCTGTTTGTTCAGTCTTTGCCTTCATACCTAGCTGAGTYCCAGCTGGCTGAGCTAGGTTCAGGGCACAGGATCAAGACCTCCATGTGCATATCCTGCAGCAATTCAGAGCTGCTGTGGACCCTCTACAGGATAAGCTGTGTATGGTCTGGGTGTGGGCATCTGCTGACAGTCACCTTTGCATTTCCTGTCCCTCAGGTGGTACCAGACCCTGATCCATCTRCTGAAGGGGAATATTGGCACGGGGCTGCTGGGGCTGCCTCTGGCTGTGAAGAATGCYGGCATCCTGGTAAGGCAGCTCAGCCCTGCTGTGCTGGAGCTTGTGGGGCACAGTGATCCCGGGGCATTGGGCAGCTCCCATGGCCAGTGTTGGGAGTGTTGGGGCTTGACTCCCTGCCTAGTCACCTCTTGGTGTTTGATGACTTGCATGCGTTTGCACCCCGAGCTCTGTGGTTTTGTTTTGCTGCTGAGACTGTTCCTGCTGCTCCTGCATTGTTGCTGCCTGGTGTGGGGGAGTTCAGTGTGTGAGCTGGGCCTGTGGTTTCCTCTGCTGAGGTCAGGCAGGGCACTGTGTCCAGACYGTGACCTCTTCGTCACCTGCATAATAGGGATGTGAAAGATAGTTTGGAAAACAATTCTGGAAGCGCTTCACTATGCCCAAACTGCCCCGGCTTGCTTCTTTTACCTCATTCCTCCCAAGCCCCTGGCTCTGTCAGGTTGCTTGGTCCTGGGGGGCTGGTTCCTGGGAGCTGCACCAGAGCTCTGGTTCAGCCTCCAGCAGTGTTTGCACCCACCCAGCCCGTGCAGTTCTGTCTGGAAGCAGAAGGTACYGTGCAGCTCTGCCTTTGGCCGTCAGAGTGCAGCCTTCCCCCTCTTTTCCCTGCAGCTGGGTCCTCTGAGCCTGYTGGTGATGGGAGTCGTGGCTGTGCACTGCATGGGCATCCTGGTGAAATGTGCCCATCACTTCTGCAACAGGTGAGGAACAACTCCCTTTCTTGGCCCTACAGCTCCTACAGTTCTTCCCTCTTGCCCAAAAAACTCTGGGTTTWTTCTGAAGCCCTTCAGCAGCAARTTACCCATGTCAAAGTYTCAGCTGGRAAATGCTGTGCTRTTTCACRGGAGCTGTTTTGCTGTTAGTGTCAYCATTTGCATTGGGAACTAGCAGCCAGGACTGATGTGATGACCTTTCTCCCTTTTCTGAACAGGTTCCAGAAGCAGTTTSTGGACTATGGAGGTGCCGTGATGTACGGGCTGGAGGCGACTCCCAGTGCCTGCCTGAGGACACATGCCATCTGGGGAAGGTACTGCCCTCCTGCCCCAGGCAGGGACTTGTCTTTGAGCCCAGCATGTGCAGCAGCTGAGCCAGAAGAGCCTCTGGCCACTGGGCTGTGTCAGCAGATAAGCACAAGTGCAAAATCACCTGCCTTGAGTGCTCRGTGTCCCCCAGAGGGTAATGCTGAGGTCTTTGATCTGTCCCCAGCCAGATGTGACTTATGTTAGAGAAGTGAGTAAGTAAGTCTCCACAGCATAACAAAGGGGTGAATAGGGTCTTGCAGTGCTGGCCCATCTTGCTGGACACAGAACMTGTCCAGTGGCTGCACCCTGCCCTGTTCGTGTCCCACATTACATCACACAGATCATTGCACATCAGGGGATGGGAGCACTGACCTATTCCTGTGTCCAGCGAGTGTTGTCTCTAGCTGTGACAATTCAGCAGCAGACTGGAGATGCTAAACCCAAAGAGGAGACWTTTCCCCTGAGGCTGGTCCTGACCYTGTGGAAGGGATGGGAGRGGGAGACTGGARAGCCTGAGATCTGTGAGRTTGGWTGGAGACTAGGTCCTCTCTCCTGGTCACAGAGAAGTGAGCTGGGTGTGCTCTGATCTGTACATCCCAACCCCAGGGAGAGCAGCATCGCTGCAGTGTGCAAGTGCAACRCAAAGCAATCCAAGTGGGCTCTTATTTCTGTATGATCTGGCTGACAAATGGTCTTCTTTTGCTCTCCAGGCGTATAGTGGGACTYTTCCTGATCATCACTCAGTTGGGTTTCTGCTGCGTGTACTTTGTCTTTCTGGCGGACAATCTGAAACAGGTTGGACTTACACCTCCTTCATGAGCAGGGGGGAGGTGAGAGGGTGTGAAGGTGCCTAGGTTGTTCTTACCTCCTGTGTCCTGTTCTCCACCAAAGGTCTGGTTTCTGTAGGATATGCTGCTCAGAAAAGTACCACTGCTCTRCCYAGGTAYAKTTGAGGACTGCTTTTCCTGTTCAAACAGAGCAGGTTTTCCTTGGAATYTGTGATTTTGCAGAGGTGCTGGAGCTGTCTGTGTTGCYCAGRAGAACTGGGGCCAATTCCTAGKGAGGGAAMAAAAGGAAAGGGRTGAAAGMARAGKGACTGTGCCTTTTCTGTCYTGTCCYCCTCAGTTAWTTGGTTTATTGGTGTTGATGGTAACGTGTGGGTCCCAGGACCTGCTGTGAACCTCTCTTCTCTCTTCCTTGGATCTGTTTGCATTCCAGTTTCTTTCCTCATCCTGTGGCTCTGGAGTTTAATTACATCTTCAGAGAAAGAGTTTCTTCCTGCCAGGCCTCAGGAGGAAATAAACAGAAACCCCGAACCGCTTGGCTGGCTCCTGTTTTGTAAGAAACTGGGAATAATGAGTCTCTATTCCCAGCCTCTGCCAGCTCAGTGCCTTGCAGGCACTGCTYAGCTTTTTTCCCCATGTGCTCCTGYTSTGCTCTTGCAGAARTGATCACTGCCACCAGGGCTGTGTCCTTCTTCAGCTCTTCAGTGATGGCCATCAGCTTCAGAGGCTTCTGGGAAGCAAGGAGGGGAGTCCTGCCAGTGTGAGCCTCTTCATCTGCTCCTGGAGCAGCAGCTGAGGAGATTCCCACTGTGGGGTGGCAGAAGGAGTAAATGGGTGCTCTGACACCACCAGCCCCCTGAGCAGGAGGGAACAGGATGTGTGCAGGGCTCAGGCTGCTGCTGGACCTCTCCCTGGTCACCATCCCTGCCCTGCTTCAAGGTGGGCTTCTTTCTCCTCAGCCCCTCACAGCAAAGACTGAAGGCTGCCTCAGCCTCAAGGGAAATGTGCAAAAACCTGCAAATCCACACCATTTTTTAGGCCACAGCTGGGAAACCCCTTGGCTTCAGTTTTGGAATTTTTTTGGGTGGGGAGAGGGGAGTGTTGCTTGTTTCTTTTTGTGGTGAGGAATCGTGTGTTAGGTGGGGAGTCATGGTGCAGGTGGTACTGTGGGCGAGAGGTGCCACTGTGTTGGGCAGAGCTTTGGTTTGGAAAATGGYTTTGGAGCAAGCCATGGAGAGGCAGGGCAGGCTGGGGCTTGAGCAGCACCGGCCATGGTGCGTGGCCCTGCACTGCCCTCTGCCACAGGGGATGCTGGTTCACACAGAGCTCTTCAGCCTCTCCTCTGGGAAAGGACTTACTCTGAAAGCAGGTTAAATCAGTTTTCAGGCTGCTTTTTGCTGCAGTGGCTGGACAGTACCTGGTGGCTGAACCAGCTTGGTCATGGTTGTATYGGTGATTCAGTGTGCCCCATGCTCTTGGGAGGGATGGCTCAGCCACCCAGTTCCTGGGCCTGACCTATCTCTAGAAGTGAGCACATGGCCTGGAGTGCCTTTGGAATGAAAGACCCCAAGGAAAAGATGATTTCTTATGAAAAAGTGAACTTGGGGACCAGCAGTAGTTTCCAGATCCCCTTGCAYGTGAACAGGGTGACTGAAGGGCTGTGTGACTTAGATAACAACTTGGTTTAACAAGAAAAGGACCTTTGGAAATAGCACTTAGTGCCTCTTTCTTCTCAACTGGCCTCGTGGGCAGTGCAAACACTCAGCCTGTGCTCTCTGCCCTCTGTGTCCCTGGCTGCTGAGTTCTCMTGCTCAATGAACCTGGGCTCAGGCAGGATTTGCTATCCTGGCTCAGATGCCAACCAGTCCCAGGTCTGCCCCCTGCAAGATAACAGGGATTTGCTTCAGAACTATCTGAAAACACGTGTGGGTTTAATTTTAATCAGCTAGCTGTGTTTGAAGTGASCTGTTGGGGTACTCTGACCCACCTGGGATGGGCTGCTAAGATCTGTGGCTTTTAGACCTGTGTGATGGGGCTCACTAAAGTTTCCTGTTCTTCCCCAGGTTGTATCAGCTGCAAACGGAACCACCAATGACTGCAGCCCAAACAGGACGGTGGTGATGACCCCCACCATGGACTCACGGCTTTACATGCTTTCCCTCTTGCCTTTTGTGGTGCTGCTCACATTCATCCAGAACCTCAAGGTCCTGTCCATCTTCTCCATGCTGGCCAACGTGGCCATGCTTGTCAGCCTTGTTGTGATCTACCAGTACATTGTCCGGGTACGTATGGCTTCCCTCTCTCTTTWGTGACATCCCATTTTTTGGCAGGTGGAGGGAGTTTGGCAGTGGGGTGCTGCTTGTTCCTGTGGCCATGATGGTTCCTTCTGCTCTGCAAGGCTTTCCCTGTAGTGTGGAGCTGTGACAGGGAGTGATGGGAACAGGCCAGGTCTTTCCTGTCCTCCCTGTGTCTGAACTCTGCGTGGGCTTTTTTCCAGGACATTCCTGATCCCAGAAACCTGCCTCTAGCAGCAGCCTGGAAAACCTACCCTCTGTTCTTTGGCACCGCGATCTTTGCTTTCGAAGGCATCGGCGTGGTAAGTCTGGGTGTGTGTTAGTGGGGCTGCTGCACAGGAGCCTCAGCTCTGCTTCAGCAATCTTGCTGCAGCACCTCCTCTACTTCACAGCTGCATTTGCAGCTGAACTTCTCTGACAGTAGCCCAAATTCTGGATGATGCTGTTAGCTTTAGCTCCAGGCTGTCTGCTGGGTCAAACTCTGGCACTTCCATCTGACCCTGGAGGAGCACATGCTCCAAACCTCAGGAGGCTGGTTTGCTGTTTTAGTGGTGGCTTTATCTGGTGGTAGATTAAGAATCATACCAGCCTCTGCCTTGGATTCTGCTGGCTGACCTGCAGATGAGGAATTGTCCTGAATCTTGTTAYCAGGCTGGATCTTGAAGTTACCTAAATGGGAGGCCAAAAAGCTTGGCATAAAAAAATGTGTTCCTTCTCCTGCTGTGGAAGCACTGTGATCTCCCTTCGGCAGCCACGTGGCCCCAGCCTGCCCATGCAGATGGGCCTCTCATGCAACATRTTGTAAATATACCAACGGTGTCTGTGAAAAAAGCTGGCTGGGTGGGTGGAGAGCTTAACGACTCCCTAAGATGTTGTGGGTTGTTTCCGGGAGCTCCCTTCAAAGAAGGAAAAAATGTTTTCATCTCTTGATATAAGCTGGCTGTGTAAACACAGGGCTGGAGAGGGCCAAATCTATTACAGGAGGGGTGTTTACTGAATGCTATGCCCTGGGCAGAGGGTTCTTGCCAGCCCTTGCATGACTTGGAGGTGAAGAAGCAATTTAAAATTATTCCTGTCCTGCCTCCTCACCAGATCTGCCACTGTGTCACTTCTTGAAATCAACACCACCCAAGGACAGCTATAAAAATGTTTGCTGAAGACCTGTATTTAGTGTTAGTAATATAGAGGTGAGAGACTTACCTCTGTCCTTCTCTTTTTATTGTCCTGCCTGATTGAAATTTGTCCAGAAAAACTTGATAGGAGAGTGAGTCTTGGTCTTTCTAGGATTTGCTGGGTAAAATAGGGCAATGTAATGTAGTGAGCATGGCTGTCCTATTTTGGGGTGCAGAGTGTAATGCACCCAAGGTATGGGGTGGTTGGCATTGCCCCAAGATGCAGTGCTGGGCACAGCTCCTACCATGGGCAGGGAGCAGGTCACATCCTTAGGGCAAGTTGTGGGTGACCTGCTGGAGAGTTGCTGTGCCAAGTGTGAAATGGGAGCWTGGAAATTGGATCTCTGGCACAATGTTTTTTAAAGCTGGATTCTCCAGGCTCCACRTGTGCCCATCCCATCTCCTGGCATGGTGGGCTGTGCTTGGCCACGGGGCTGCCCCTCCTGTTTTTTGGGTCTAAGGGGTATAGAGGAATGGGCAACCTGCTGCTCTGTCATCCTCCTCCTCTTCTCCCAGGTGCTGCCTCTGGAAAACAAGATGAAGAACCCCCGGCAATTCCCAGTGATCCTCTACGTGGGGATGACCATTGTCACCATCCTGTACATCAGCCTGAGTGTCCTGGGGTACCTGCGCTTTGGGTCGGACATTCAGGCCAGCATAACACTCAACCTGCCCAACTGCTGGTGAGTCCCTGTGGGCAGTGGAGGCACTGGGGGTGAGGAAGGAGGGGCCCAGACAGGTGGGTGGGAGAGGGTGACATTGCTCCTTATGGGAACTAATTTAGGTGAGCTTGAGGAGCTGGGYCATAAGCAAACTTGAAGGAGTTTGACAAGGGCTGTTGGATGTATGGGCTGGAAGAGGCTTGTTGCTGTGGTGTCTGAGYATGGTTTTGGAGCTCAGGCTGCTTCATCAGTCCCTGATGGTCTCTGTCAGGGTAGGTGCAGCTCCTGCCTTTTTTTTTTTTGGAGCCTTTTGGCATCTTTTTGGAGCTCAGCAGTGCTCTGGCTGGCAGATATTGAACACAACCCCCATGCTGCCATACCAGAACATCAGTGAATTCTGCAAAACCCACTTCTCTTCCTTAAATGCAGCACATGAAAAACCAACCCAAAGCTGGGAGCTCTCCAAGGGAGTGAGATGTGACATCTCCATGTGTGGGTTCCTTGTTTGCAGCCCTGGAGCTCAAACTCCCACTTTGGGGCCCCGTGTTGTGCCTGGATGTRGCTCATCTTGAGCCARTGCTTTGYCTGYGAGTGCTGTGATACCCCTTCCTTCYGTGGGGGCTGAGCTCTGCAGCAGCTCCCCAAACCTGTCTGTCCTCTGGGATCTGCTGAAGCCTCTTGAGATGCTCCAGTTGCTGTCTGGAGCCCTGTGGCCTCACCTCATGCCTGCCTGGAGGGGTTGTTTCTCCTCTTGCCAGGGCTGGTCAGGCTGTGTGCTGCTCTGTCCCTGGGGAGGGGTGGCTGCTCAGTGTTATGGCTCCATATTCATCCCACAGGAGAAATGCAAGCAAGTTCTCTGATGGTCTCTACTGGTTTGAAATCCTGCAAGAGACCAGAGTGAGAACTGGAGCTGGGGGTGCCTGTCCTCCTCCCCAGCCCATCCTCTCTGCTGCTAGTAGCACCCAGCACTGTGACTCACTGTCTCACTGTTGGAGTAAATTTGGGCAGGACTCAAGTTTTGAGTCACTGGGGCTTCCACATGCTGTCCTTGTAGAGCTGCACAGTTGGGGCTCTGGAGACTGCACAGATTTGACAAAAATAGAGCCTAGTTTAGCTTTAGTTATTGCTGTGTGGGTTTCTTTTCAGTTTGAGTGTATGGATGTTCGTTCATGCTGGGTCTGTGTAGTGACTGCACTGCTGGATATTGATGTTGGTGTGGTAGAAGATCCTGTTCCTGCTGGGAGCCTTGTCTTGTCCCCTGCAGGGGCTGGCAGCTCTGCCAGGTCCCTGCTCTCAGTGAGGAGGGATGAGGCTGGTGCAAAGATGTGCCTGTGTTGTAGGAGGTCTGAATCCCACTGTGTTCTGCTCAGTAATTGAAGTGTGGAGGGAATGAGATGCTGCTGCTTCTCCTGAAGGTGGAAAGCAGGGCATTTCCAGGTTTGGGCTCTGCATGCCACAGCCTGCAATGATGTCTGCTGACCTGAAGTGCTGCACAGGGGCTTTCCAGCTCTGTTTGCTCTAAAGAATGACATTTCCTTAGAACAGATGAGATTACTGCGACCGACTAGGCTACAGAGAAAAGAGTGCAAAAACAAATGCATGTTTCCAGGAGTATCCACACCTTCTCTCTTTTCTGAAAGGAAAGTTCTTCTCTGAAAGTCAAGTATTCTAAAATTGCTTTCCTAAAAGTAACCACAGGGTTTTTTGCATAGTGAGAAGAGCCCTTTGGAAGCAGCACCTGGGCATGTGGCAGGGCTCCTGCTGGCAGCTGAAGGGAAGGTGTGCTGTGGTCCTTGTCACTCAGCACGCAGGACACTTTGATATTTGTGCCTGTTGCCCTTGGCAGGGCATTCAGTGAATGTTGGACTTGGAGATGGGTTATCTCAAGTAAGAGCTGTGATTGTTGGGATAAACTATCTTGACTGCTGCTCCCGTGCATTGAACCTCAGGTGTTGGGTGATGACTTGAAATGAGTGTCTCAACCATCCTGCCTCGCCTGCGGGTTTTATTTCTGGCAGTAAAAGGCTGGGCTGCAGGAGCTGGTCATAAGGGCTGTGGGTGAGAAGTCATGGGCTTTGCCTGCAGCCTGGGAGACAGGGAGGGATTGTGGTGGAGGTGCTGCAGCCTTCCTTGGCTGTAGCCATTGCCTGGAGGTCTCTGGAGCAGATTTGGTGAATGTCTCAGGAATCGTTGAGTTACAGGATGACTAAGGACTTTTCCAGCCTCATTTCTCTGAAACCACAGCTTCCTCAAACAAGGAGTGTGTCAGTTCCCAGTGCCCAGGTCTAACCACTGTGTCCAAAATACTGTGCAGAAGTCCTTGCTTGCCTCCTCGGAAGGGTTGCTTCACTGCACCATCTGAAGGGTGAAGAAATGGCATAGTGAGGGGGAAGCTGTTGGGTTGCATGGGGCAGTTGWAGGTAGGTGATGACAGAGCTTACGGTCCCAGGAGGGTATTGCACGCCTTTCAACCTTTTGGGATGGCCTGGCATGCCAGCCTGGTGTAATCAGGCATTGCTGTGGTTGGCAGAGTGCCTCCCCAAGGCCCTGCATGAGCCTGTGTTTTCTGTGAATCAAGGATAATGCTTGAATTCTTCCTCTTGGTATTTAAAATGCCCTTTGATCTTRTTGTCCTTGTTCTTGACCTGTGCAGGACAGGTACACAGCCTTCTTCTGTACTTTTTTTAGTAACAGCTATTAATCGTGGATTGCCCTGGAGCATTTTATGCCTTTTATAGAATCACTTACTTGGAAATACAATGATAAGATATGCCAGCCGTGGGTTGGTGGCTCAAGGCTCCTGTGCACACGTGTGGCTGCAYRGCCGCACTCTGGACYCTGGAGATAACTTTGTGTTCAGTTTGCCTGTGGAACCTCAGAGTAATTGAAGTTGGAGAGGGATGACTGGATSCTCTCATCTGCTCGTCAGGGCCGGSTTAAGTGTTGAATRTCAGTAAGGACAGTGGTTCCCCACCAATCCAGGCCCATCCTTTGGAGATGCAGCATTGTCCCATTGCACCTGGTTCTTCTGATGTGCAACTCCAATGAAGAGCCWGTTTCTGTCTCCTCTGTGCCCTCCTATTAGGTAGCTGAAGACATTAATTAATGACATCCTCTTTTAACCTTCTCATCATGCTGAAGGAGCCCAGGGCTTGCAGCCTTTCCTTATACATCATACTCCAGCCCCAACCATCTTAGTAGCCTGCACTCAACTTGAGTTAGGGAAGGGTTAGGACCCTATGTAAGGTAACCACATGTTACTTCTCTGCTGGAGAGGCTTTTTCTACTGCTGGGAAGCTGGGAGATGGGCTAGGAGATGCCTACTGCTAGGGCTGGGAGATGCCTTTGGTCAGCTGTGATGGGGTCTCCTGCAGCCAGACTATCGCTGCAGGATCTGGGACATGGTGACATCTGACTTGGGGTGAGCCTGAGGTGCTCTTTGCAGCCTGTGTGCACTCTGCCTTCCTTCTGCTCAGCCCAAACTGCTCTTTTAACTGTCTCCCCYCAGACATTTATTATGCAGCATTCCAAAAATAGCTGCTCTTTTTTTTTGTTTGATGGAGGAGGCCAAGTTGCCTGTTCACGTTGCTTTGCTTTTGGAACACTGTGATATTCACTTTCCATGGAAGCCCAGACTTATCCCAGCARTGCTGTCCTGTTTCCCCTCCTCAGAAGCCAAGCAGTAACTGSAATGTGTAACCATGCCTGCAGCTGATACATGTCTTTACTATCTCTTGCTTAAGAAAGGTCATTGTGAATTAAATGCATCCCCCCTAATTCTCTAAGAGAGTGTTCAGGAGTTGAGATCACTGGCTCACAAAAGTCATTGCAGAGTGTTACCCTTCTGCTTTCTGCTGTTGATGTTTACAGGGGCTGGAGCAAGAACCTGACTCACTGTGTCCTTGTCCTTCACAGGCTGTACCAAGCTGTCAAGCTGCTCTTCTCCTTTGGGATTTTCTTCACCTACGCCGTGCAGTTCTACGTGCCTGCTGAGATCATCATCCCTCCCCTCGTGGCCCGGGTGTCGGAGCGCTGGGGCTGGCTGGTCAACCTGCTCCTCAGGGTGGCCCTGGTCTGTGTGACCTGTGAGTAGAAACCACCTTGTCTGAGTTGCCCTGTGAGGCCATGGTACTTCCTTCCCACTGAACCTTAAGCACTCACCCCAGCCCTGTTGCTCAAGCCCACACAGCTAGCAATCCCTGAGCCTGGCTAATGGAAGCCAGAGAGTCGGGGTGGCCTCTGAGGAGCAGCAGCAGTTGTCTCAGTGAAGCAGTAGTAAACTGCACTGTTTAGAAGTGGCAGATCCCCATGGAGCCTCAGRCCTGGGATTCYTCTGATGGCAGGTTTGTGGGACATYGAGTCCCAGCAGGGTTTAYRTGRAACACCCAGCAMAGGGCTCAGTGCCARGGCAGCCCAGACCATAGGCTGTTTTCTGTAGTCAGTGTGCAGCCAAGCTCCTCATGCCTGTGTGAGTGGAACATGACTGCAAAGGAGGCACTGACCRTGAGGGATGGGGTGTTCTTGTGCCCATTGCAGCGTGGAGCACAGCAGGAGACAAGTGGCAGAGGGAGGTGACCCATAACCAGAGCCCTGGTGTGCTGCAGTGCAGAGTGAACCACAAGGCAGGTGTGCCTGGGTCAGCCCCACAGCATTCCTTCCCTTCATGGTGTGAGGTTCTGGTGGAGCAGGCTGCTGGCTYGAGCCTGATGGACCTTTGGGAAAGGTGTGGAGCAAATCAGGTTGTATCTGATTTTGGCTGGCTTTGATTCCTGAAGACTAAAAGCTTGCTGTTGTCAGCACAGCTGAGACGCTTCACTGAGCTCCCCGGCGTCCTCTGCTGAAATGGAGCTTTGCTCCGTGGCTTGAGGCTGCTGATGCACCAGAATTGAGCATTAGGGACCTGGCCCCACGTCCCAGCTGGCTTCAGTTTGCATTTGAGAGGAGCAAGATGTTAATTCAGGGATGGTGGAGATAGCTGAGAGCAGGGTGCTGCTGTTTCTGGGCTCTCGCTAATGACAGAGCATTAACAGAGGTGGGCACGGCCCATCTCCTCTGCACTGAGTTCCTGAAGCTTTGATGTCCTTAGAAAGTGCAGGGATGAAATCCTGTGCTCCAGCCACCCTGGTGCTGTGGGTGGACTCAGAGCCTGCTTGTGGGGTTGGAGCCTTTCTTGGAGGGTGTTGGGCTGTGCCAAGCCAGGAAAACAAAGGCTTGGAGTGACAGGATGGGTTTAGGCTTCAGCAGTGGCTGTGCCCTCCCGTTTGGGAGTAGAGAGGCAGCAGAGGTGTTGGTGGAAGGATGCTGGTTCCTTTGTACCTCCTCCCCTCACCTTTCTGTGTCAGGGATCTCTGTGGCTGCTGCTGAGGATGAAAGCAGTTAGGGGGGTTGTATAAATATTCATTGGAGGATTGTGTGGCCGCACAACAAGCCCCCACCAGAGCTTTGGCTCTCAAAGAGAGGATGCAATCTGCAATATGGGTGTCTTTCAAGCTTAGACTTCAAAACCAGCACACTTAAAATCCCTTTGAATTAAAACCTGCAGAAATCAGACCGTTTCCCTGGAGGCTGAGGACTGCAGCTGGTGCTTCAAATCTGCTTGTTTTAGAGGGGAGTTAATAATTTTGTTTACTTTTGAGTCCAAAGAGCAGTGTGGGGTGGGCTGAGGRTGCTGTTGGAGGTGAGCTGCTCTGCTCTGCCCTCCACACAGGCTGTTGGAGCAGGGATACTGCTTGCAGCAGAGACCTGGCAGAGCACTCCTTCAGCAGAGCTGAGCATTGGTGTAAACATCCTCCAGGTCAGCAGCTCAGRATCTTTGCTGCAGGTTCCCATGGGGGAGCGATGGTTTGACTCTAGGCTTACCCAGATGACAGCAGAGCTGCAGTGATGGCACGTCAATCTCCCAAGCCTTCCTTCTGCAGTTCCATGGGTGATCTSTGGCTCAGGGAGGCTCCCACAGCCTCTTGCCTGCAGCTAATTGACAGGAAGAGAGCAAATCCATCCCATAAGGAGCCCTGAGATGTCCCCTCTCCAAGGAGGCTGCACCTGCCATGGCTCTAGGTTTCTCCTGTTTCTAAGCACAGCTTTCTAAGGAATAAACCAATTTATTTCTCGTGGTCACTGGTTAAGCACTGAAGTCTGCTCTGCTTGCAGAAGATGCTCTTGAGCTCTGGTGACATCCCTCAGTCCTCTCCTGGTGCTGTGCAGGAAGAGGGGGAGCAGGAATATCCAGCAGCTCACATTGCTAAGTGCAAGCTGTCAGGAGTCTTCCAGGGGGATTTTCCTTGGCTGCAATTTTCACCTAACAAATGTTCTCCCCTGGGCTGTGCCGTGGGCGTGCTGCTGCTGGAGCAGCTCTAAAAACATGCAAACCGCACAAATTGATTTGGGTTGGGGGCAGATGCATTTTTATTCCCTTCTACTTTTATGGGGTTTCTGAGGCTTTATGGTTCCCCAGGTGTGGGGAGCAGGAGTKCTGGCTCTCACCAGGGTGGTCGGGAATGCCAGCAGCCAGCAGCACCCATCCTGCTCAGCCCTGGAGCTCACTCTGATGGTGCCCAGGGCAACAAAAAGAGTTTGGTCTTGGAGCTTCACTTCGTTAATTCAGCTTTGTTAATTGCTTTTTGGGGAGGAGTTGCTGGAAAAATTTGCAACCTTGTCTTCTGTCAGGGAGGAGGGCAGAGGTGTGACTCAGCCAGTGGCATCCCTGGTGGGGTTTTGCTTGCTTTGACACAGGGAGGAGCGTTTCTGCTGTCTGGGAGGTGGCAGCACTGATTGTCATGTCCTTTCCTTTCCTTCCCCAGGCGTGCTGGCCATCCTCATCCCCCGCCTGGACCTCGTCATCTCCCTGGTGGGCTCCGTCAGCAGCAGTGCCCTGGCTCTCATCTTCCCCCCGCTGCTGGAGATTGCCACCTACTACTCCGAGGGCATGCACCCTCTCATCATTGCCAAGGACATCGCCATCAGCCTCTTYGGCTTCGTGGGCTTCGTGGTGGGCACGTACGAGGCGCTGGTGGAGCTGGTGGCACCCGCGGCCACCGTGGTGAACGCCACCAGTGTCCTGGTGCAGTGATGGCCCTGCCGGCAGCTCTGGGTGCTGAGCTGGGGGAGCATGGACACCGAGCACTGCTCTCCTGGGAACGGCCTCCCCTCCGCTCTTGGGAAATGTGGTGGGTTTGGTCTGAGAGAGGATGGGGCTGCCCAGCACCGATCTGCCCRACTGCAGCAGGATCCTGCTCTGGGCTCCGTCTGGAAAGTGGGATCCAGCCTGGGGCGGTGCCTTCCCTCTTAGGGCAGGTGCTGYAAAACAGCCCCTCTGTAAATAGTCACTTTGAGAGGTGAGGAATCCCAGGGATGTAGATTTTATTTTATTTTATTATTTTTTTWAATCCCAACCTTTCCATATTTTCCCCAGCCCTTCAATCAGGATGGGGAACAGGGACTACTCTTTTTTGTGCCAGTTTGATTTTTTTTTTTTTTTTAATACCCTGAGCACTTTATTTTTACAGCAACAGACAAACCTCAGCTCAGGTTAGAGAGAGTGTGGAGCTGCCTCCTCACCCCAGACTTGTGGGGAGGGTGGGCAGAGCCTGAGGTGTGGGGTGTCCCAGGACCCACAGCTCTCTCTCAGTGGGATCCCAGCCATGGGCATTGGCTCCTGCAGTGCTCCAGCTCTGTTTCCAGCTGCCTTGAGCAGGAATTCTGAGCAGGMCCTGGAGCTGGGCACTGGGCATGTCATCTCCCTGGCCTGGGAGGATTTGCTGACCCCTGGCCCATGCTTTCAGTAGTGACACTKCTCTGTCCCCAACCAGCGCACAACCCAATGCTTGGCTTTCAGAAGCTTTAGAGAACCGAGGTGTGTGGGGAGCAAACAGGCTCTGCCATAACAAGGGGCTGAGCTGGTCCCCTTTGGGTGGGATGGGGTGTCCCTGGGGGTCACCACAGGCTGTCCACACGCCACGAGAATACATCACCTTGTTTACAGTGCCTGAGCTGGCCCTGGCACGCTCCRCCTGCATCTGCAGGCCGATACTGAATGTCAAATCACACACAAAACTCCATACTTCTTTTTTTAACCATTTCTTTTCTGGTTCCACTCCCTCTGCATCCTTTGCCTCTGCCCAGCTCCTCTCCTCCTGTAGGATGCAGCTCCCCTGGCACTTCTCCCTGTGCTCCTRTTGCTTCTCTTGTCATGGCTGGTGCATGCCTGGTGGGGATGGTCYTGTGGCGCTGCTGTTTTCCTTCCTCTGAGAGCCCAGCTTTCTCCCTAGACAGTTTCCTTGCCTTTCTGCTGGATTTCTACTTTTTTAAGACAAGGGAGAAAACACATCCTCCACAGGATGGGCTCARCTCCTGCTGGTTAATGCAGCATCTCCCTCATCCCACTGCAGCCGTGTCTCTGGGGGTGGGCAAAGGGGGGTGAGTACAGCACCAGTGGGCTGCGTTCTTGTCTTTGGTGGAGGGTGAGGTTGGTGGTTATTTTCGGTGTTTGACTGGATTCTGGGAGGAGAAGGCTGTGTGGAGCAGTGTTCCCTGCAGCCTGCCTCTCCCTGGAGGGTGTTGGTGTCTGCTCTGTCCCCTTTGCTGGCAGTTCTGGGTGCCCCATGCCGGTGTCTGGACCCACAGCCAGGTGTGGGGTAGGTCTGTGCCATTTCACTGCCCCTTTCCAGCCCCTCCTCTCCTCCCTGCATCTCTTGGGGTTCACCTCGTCTCCTCCAAGGCTCAGCTGGGAAAGRTTTTGGCATGACCAGCATTGCTTGGTCAGGAGCAGAGCAAAGCTTTAACTCAAATCCTCCCTCTGGAGGGCACCATGGGGAYAGAGAGGAAGCACCCAGGGCTGGGAAGGGGCTCCAGGGCATGACACAGACGGGAGAAGTGCAATATTCATGTCCATCTCTGTGTRCTGACCCCAGCGTGGCCCTTGGGGTTGGGTTTGAGTCAGAATTGTCATCCTCAACAGAGSAGGGAGTGCTGTGAGGAGCAGGGGATGTCTGATGCTTCCCCTTGCCCTGCTAGTAGTGCACTCTAAGAAGGCTGGCCACATTTTAGGGACAGCTCTGTGCCAAGGCATGTCCCCAGCCTGGCACTGGGCATCAGTGGGTTTGATAATGAGGCTCCTGGCATCCAAACTCACTTTGCAAGTGGCAGTGAAGACCTAATTTCCAACGGGACTGGGATATCACAGAAGCATTAAATGGATTTTGCAGCTCTTACTGGGGTGAGCAGGGGTGTTTGAAGATGGGGCCTGACCTGCTGGTGGCACATATGGTGTGAGGGGCTCTGCTGAGCCAGGGGGAGCTGGTACAGGACCTGATGGACACAAAAACTTGACACTTGTGTATTGTAGGCTGCTCAGTAACCAAGAAACGTGTCTGTGTAAATATAGCAATGGTCATGTCCACGTCTCGTGCCTATGGATATTGTCAGTGTACAGCGTGGGTGGCTGCCCAGTGGGAGAGCTGGTGCTGCACCTGAATCGTGTATCTTACTTTAATCAATAAATATGATCTATTTTTTATGTGTAAAGGCTTTGGGGTGTGAAGTGTGGGTTTCTCTTCCAGAAGAAGTGAGAGCAGGAGACGTGGAGCCCAGCAGGCAGCCAGGATCAGACCTTGTGCTGTTCCCACCCCCACAGSAGCACACTCACCAATTCCCCTCCTAGTGAAGGCTTCTTTGAAAAGTGTTCCAGCTTTGCTGCGGAAAATTTAATTTTTCTTCTGACCTCGTTTGTGCAAGTAGGTTGTGGGCAGAGCTTATGGGCTTACAGGGTTGGGCTTTTCTCTGCCCCACCAAAGCTGTGCCTTGGTTTCTCCTCTCCGTATTTTTGCCAAAAGTGGGACTGGAGCTGAAMAAAAGAGCCTGGCATGTGAAAAAAGATGGGGGTGCTGCTGATCTGCCCAAGAGATCAAAGAAGCAATAGTCAGCCCACGCTGGGAGACTCTGCCAGAACTGCTGCAGCACAGTCTATCCTCACTGCTGAATAATTCATGCCATTGCAGTGTGTCATTACAGGGCTGTTGGGGAAATCAGTGCTATAAAAAGTTCATCTTTAGAAACTCTGGCAGATTTTTTTTCTTGAACTAGGTGGCTTTTGCATGCTGATGGGGAGTGTGGATCTGAGGTCAGCTGAATGAGAGGGCAGGAGGGATGGCTGAGCACAGGAAGCTCCTGGTGCTTTTGGGTATTTCTGACAATGGAGAGTCACCGTGATGGGATCCACAGACATCCTTTCTTAGGGTTGAGCACTGCAGGGCTGTCCCCATCCCATGAAATGAATTTGATGAGGCTGCTCCTTCCCAGGTGTCAGTGGAGCTTCATCTTAAGTTGCCTTTGCCCTCCCCTGTGTTGTGGCCACTGGCCAAAGCAACCCTGGGGAGTTAAAGATCTGGAGGAAAGTATCACTGTTATTTGTGCTGCCTCTGCCACTGGCAAGAGCAATTTGTATTTTCCTTACRGGCAAAAGTGGTGCCTGTTGCTGAGACACCTAAAATTAAGTATTCTCAAAACAAAGTACAGGAATTGTGCTCTCTTGAGGTGATGTTAAGAGGGATTTACCAAGCAGACTAAAACCAGTTAGATAAAATAGTTCTATTCCAGGCAGGGACTGCTTTCTGCTGAGCAGAGCTTGTAAAAAATGTTATGGAAGTGCATGAGAGCTTTGAGAGGTAAAAAAGGTGGTTCTTGGGGATGCAAATAAAAGCAGAGCTTCCTTCAGTTTGGGTTCTTTCAACCCCTTTACACCTGAGCTAAGAGATGGAGRAGGCTCGTGGCTTCCCAAAGCAAGGCAAGGTACTGGGGGTCTGTCTGCCTCATGCCTCTGGCCCTTACAGGATCCTCAAAAATGTGTTTAACTTGCTGTCTTGATACTTCTCTGAAAGCTTCTGGTGCCCAAAATAAGCTCCTTGGCTGGAGCTAGGCAAGGATGTCCTGTTTACAAGAGAATCCCTGAGATACCCAATAGAATCATAATAGTAAAAAAATCCAAACTCTTTTAATACTTTCCAAAAATTCAACAACAAAAAAAGTTCAACATCAAACAACCAACCAAGAAAACCTCTCACAAAGAAACGATACATTTCTGAGCACATGGACAAACAGGCAAACCCACGCTCAGCAGCCCTGGTGCCCCTCACTGGGCAGAGATTCTGGGAAGTGCTGGCCAGTCTTTYTGGGATACAGCACAGAGTCCCTGCTGTTGGTAGGACCATGTACAGCTGTGTTCAGCACCACAATAGCTACGGGGACAAGGCTGTGCACACAATCCTCGGGGCAGGGTCCCCATTACTCATGTGAGCACAGCCCAACTGGGCAGTCCAGTTTGAGTCTGTGGGTGGTTCCTGGTGTGACAAACCTTGTTGCTTGGTTTTTCTACAGAAATGGACTCCTTTTTTTCTTTTTTTTTTTTCCCCCCCCTTGGACTTCTGTTAGCCAGAAGGGATGTGCCGATGGGACCAGCTGCATTCCCTCTTCTCTCTCCCAGTGTCAGGGAGCAGATATAGAAGAGGGTTTGCACCAGCTGATCCATTCCACGAGCAAACTTGTTGGCTTGATGCAAGCCCTTGGAGCCAGAGCTGGGAGCAGGGAGCCTCTGCTACCCCATATGGGGCACTGCCAGGCTGAACTTTCACACCTTTTTCCACCATGACTGCTGCCATACCTRCAGTGCTTGCCCTCCTCCTCCTCACCCTCCCTGTGGCCAGGAAGCCTGGGGTGGGAGGAGGTGGCATGCTGTGGTCCTACGTGGTGTTGGAGGCAGTCCCCTTGGTAARAAGGCAGGTTAGTCATTGGCATCCCAGGAGCATCCTCCGTGTCCCAGCAGTGGCTGGAGCATTTCCCCTCCATTTGCAGCAGGAGCACCGTGGAGGGCAGCGAGGGGAAAGATCCAGCCAAATTACAACTCGCCACACAGAGGGTGACACTGCAAGCTGAGTGGGACACTCAGGCCACCCTTCAGCAGCGTGTGCCAGCCCCCGGCGCTCCGTTCTGCGTGGAGATGCGCTTCTCTCCTCATGCCCTGTTAGAACATCACCTCCTCACAGCTCCCGTAGTCACTCTCCACCATGTCGGAGCCCTCGTAGTTGGGTGGTGGCAGGGGCTGGGCTCGGATGCYGGGCTGGTGGCCCAGCTCGCAGTCGGCGTAGGAGGGCTGGGCCACGCTCAGGCGCATGCTGACCCTCTTGTAGCCCGGCTCGGGCTGGTAGGGCACCCCCTCGCCCTGCACCAGCTGTGCTGGGTAGTAGCTGATGGCCGTGTACTCGTTCTGGCACTGGGACGCTGCCATGTCCACGGGGCCGAGCGGCAGGAAATCCTCCAGGTTCTGGTTGCTGTAGCGGGGTGGGATGGGGGCTCGCTTGTTGCTCTGGTCCAGCGGGAAGGGGAAGCCCCCGTAGAGAGCGACCGGCTCGGTGTCTGCTGGGGGAGGGGGCGGCGGGGGCAGCGGAGGGTGAGAGGAGGAGGCGGGGGGCCCCTGAATGATCTCGTAGTGGGAATACTCCTGCACGTCTGATGACAGGTACCGGGGTGGCCAGTAGGTCGTTTCTGCTGGGTAGACTGGAACA